GTGTCAGGCTACTAATCATTCAGGCGTTCACGGGTCGGAACCCTGAGCGTAGACATAGCCTCGATTCTCTCTGCCGCCTAGTGACGCAGATGTGACACAGCAGCCACACCTGCAACGCCTCGAGGGGCTACATTTCCATCATTGACTTTGTTCCAAATGTGGTCTTGCCAAAATTACCAAAAGTACCAAAATGTACTTTGTACCTTGAGTACCACTGGGACTTGGTATATCACTCAGAGGCAGCAAAGACTCCTCGGGCATCGCAGCCAGCCTCTCTGCAGGACTTGTAGAGCTCAGTGCCAATTGAAAATGAAAATGTGGAATTCCATGTTACAAAGTCATGGAGGGTTTCCACACAGTGACAGCAAAGAACTAACCTGTATGCTGGCCTCCTCCACGTCCAGGACTTTGCGGCTGCACTAGATGAGTTAACTTTGCTGCCGTTCATTCCCCACTCACCGTCCAGCTCGTTCCGCTGTGTGTTTACCGCGTGCTGAGCGCCAGTGAATGTCGCACATATAGTTAGCATTTATCCTTCACCACTGCCCTATGATGGAGGTGTGGAGGTATTCCTGCCCGTGTATTGCAGATGAGGAGAGGGAAATGCAGAGGAGTCACATAGCTTGCCCCAGGTCAAGTGGGAGAGCCAGAATTTGAACCTAAGTCTCTTTGCCTCCACATCCCATGTTCATAACCAGTATGCAATTCCCCAGCATTTCCTTTCCCACACTCACCGCTTTATTATCGTTAAATACACGCTAAGGAGTACTAGGAGGAGGTGGCTGGCCATGCCGGGGCAGGCCGGCCTGGGGCTGGGGATGCTTCCTGGAGGCCCCCAGAGGTTTTAGAGGAAGATGAAATGGAGAGTGACTGGGGCCCTTTTGTGTTGCTTGAGAACGTGGGCAGGCAGGATAGACTCTGAAGGGGCTGCGTTGCTTATTATGCAGCTGCCTACATTGCTGCTTTGTATGGATTCTGCCTGCTTCTAAGAAGACTGCCATCTCTCTTTTCATTTCCTATTTGTGTTAGGAACATTTTATTGATCTTTCTGTCTTCTCTGAGAAGCATAATAATTCTTATGCTTTGATACTGTGAAACATACAGTGCCATATACAGAGGGATATCAGCCCCAGAGGGGGCAGCTCAGTATGCATCTGCTGGAGAGATGAGGGGTTTCAGAGAGGTGAAACCATTGTCATTCTTGAGCAGGTCTCGGACCAAACCAAAAAACTCAGAGCTCTGTCTAAGTACTGGGAAATTGCTGGCTGCCTTTCTAGTACGAAACATGTTTTCCCAGCCGGATTATGTAATGTGGGATAGGTTGTTTGCTGTTTTCTAAGATTCATTTGGGCTGCCAGAAACACTTGCAGTCCACAGCCAGATACTAGGAGGTTCCCATCCTCTGAGGATAGTGCATACACCAGTATTTGCAAAATTTATCACCAGATCCTAAGGGTGTGGAAGCTGGCAGATTAGTTAAATGCAAGATACCTTCCAAGCCCCTATGGACTAGGTGAAGTCTGAATATAATTCTTCTTAATTTTTTGTGGAAGTGGGTGGGGATGGAGTGATTTTCAAAGTTTATCCTACTGGAGGACAAAACAAGCTGCTCTGGCTTGGTGCTGGGTAGAGGAACCATGGAGAGGAAAAGATTGCGTGAGATGGATTCTGTTTGGTTGCTGGTCTCACCCCTGAGTTTAGTCCTCTCCATGCACGTTTGGCTGTTAATGTTGAGTGCCATGAAGAGGCCTGCAGGAGTGAAGACAGATGGGAGGGGGCAAGGCCATGCTAAGTGCTCCTCTGGCAGCCTGCCACGGCCGCATTAGCAGATTAAGCCTCTCACTCCATCTTCGCCTCCCCCACACCACAGGACACAGGCGGGACGCAGATTCTGCCTCCTCCAGGACAGCTGCATCACCACTGAAAGGAGCTGTAATAAACA